TCAGGGTGGTATTTCTCAGTGAACAAAACCTCCCTTTAGCATGCTGTTAGAAAACATTATTTACTTCAGGGTGATATTTCTCAGTGAACAAAACCTACCTTTAGCATGCTGTAAGAAAACATTATTTACTTCAGGGTGGTATTTCTCAGTGAACAAAACCTACCTTTAGCATGCTATTAGAAAACATTATTTACTTCAGGGTGGTATTTCTCAGTGAACAAAACCTACCTTTAGCATGCTATTAGAAAACATTATTTACTTCAGGGTGGTATTTCTCAGTGAATAAAACCTACCTTTAGCATGCTGTTAGAAAACATTATTTACTTCAGGTGATATTTCTCAGTGAACAAAACCTACCTTTGATATGTTGTTATAAAACAATATTTATTTCAGGTGATATTTTTCAGTGAATTAAACCGAACTTTGGTGTATTGTTATAAAACAATATTTATTTCAGGTGATATTTTTCAGTGAATTAAACCCAACTTTGGTGTATTGTTATAAAACAATATTTATTCCAGGTGATATTTTTCAGTGAATTAAACCCAACTTTGGTGTATTGTTATAAAACAATATTTATTTCAGGTGATATTTTTCAGTGAATTAAACCCAACTTTGGTGTATTGTTATAAAACAATATTTATTTCAAGGTGATATTTCTCAGTGAACTAAACTTGCCATTAGTGTGTTGTTATAAAATGGTGTGTTTCAGTATTTACAGCTATAGTTGTTACCCCACGTTGTTAGGTGTGTTCTTAATAAACAATATTTGCATTCTGGTGATATCTATTGATGAACTAACAGACTGTTCATGATAACTCAAAAATAAAGTTACTATAGGAACTCCTTGTTCTAATCCCTACTTAAAAATTTAAATGCGATTTGTTTTACAGAATGGTATGTTAACTTAGAATTGAAGTGATTAGATATTCCACATATAAAATCAGATAAGGAAAAACTAAATGCAAGGATTGATGCTTCAGTGAAATTACTGGTTTAAATTGTGTACAACATCAAAATCGTCTATATTTACATTACCATTAAACTTTGATACCTTCGGTGAGTGTGAGCATCTAAGACCATTTGTAATGTTATACTGATACTGGTGTGTTCTTCACTAAAATTACTAAATAATCCTGAAAAATTTTAGTTATTCGTAAAAATACTTGCTGTCAACAAGCCTATGCTACTTGTCAACATGACTATTAAAACATTTCTTGTACGCCTTAGAAACGGTTATAATTCATCATTATGGATTTTCTTAAGTTAGTTTCTAGTAAACCTTTACTTACCTCTAAAAAGTTGTCATTGGTAAACCTGTGGATAAGGGCAGTTTTCCCACAACGACTATCCCCTACCAAGACGATCTTGCAGCTAAACTCTTCCATCCCCTTCCACCCACTGGCTTATCACAGGAATTATGGGATATATATGGACGGATAGGGACGAGGAGACACCTGTAAGAGAAGTGTTGTGTTTATAATAAATTAGTTATATTCGACTAATTATCTACCAAAATAAATGTCCATATTTACAAAAATATGTTTTCTTGAACCTAAAAGGTACTGTCTTTATCTCGACCTGCATTAATACGAATTTTTCAAGTAGATAACACTCAACAGAGGTTCTGTCTAGTGTCACATGTCCAACAGCTAAATGTATATGAATTGAAAACTGGCTATGGGCATAAAAAGATTAAAATGCGAACAAACCAAAAAAAAACAACAAAAAACAGTGGCTCTTATAAAAATGGCATGAACAAATAATGCTATAGCCAATCTAGGTGCCAGGTTTCGTCTTTATACATCTAACGCACGTAATCTTTAGCCTTTTAACGTGGAATATTCTACTTTCAGAAAAACAAAAGCATGAAAGTTACTTGATGTGCTCGTGTATATTAAACAATTTTTAGTGTGTTGATGTGTCTTAAAATAGTTGTTGTGTTGATGTATGGTAAACCGTTTTGTAGCGAACTGCTTGCTGTGTGATCAAAGTTACTTCACGTGTTGGTGTGTCTTAAGCATTATTCTGTATGTTTATGTCTGTATTAAAAAATGTGAAAAACACGTAAAGCTGATTCACGAAGGAAACGGACAAAATAATTCATGAAATGAGAGAATGTAGACAAAAATAAAAACAATTTGATAATTAAGTTTTTTGTGATGTACATAAATTTTTATCTTTATTGTAAAGTCAAGCAGTCTGTTACATAAACTCAATGATGTGTCATAGAAGCTGCAACAGAGTATAAAAATTATTTAATGCTTTAGCAAAGAAAAGACCAGGTGAAAACTTGTAAAAGATCCCAAGGTTTTTAATAGTGATGAAAAGTATGATCAACTAGTCGACTCAAAGTTCATTCAAAACATCAATTCGTCTGTGACATCACAACGTCTGTTCTGTTACATTCCTGCACTAATTCGTAGTGAAAATATGGATACTTGGTGATATACAAAGGTTCAATTACCTATGTCAATGGAAAGAATTGTGTTTATGCCTCCAAAAATTCTATCAGTAAAAACCCTGAAACTTAATGCTATATTTTGATTGGTATTAGAAAGGATATTAAGCCATGAATGAAAAGCTTCGGACTATCTTCACAGGAACATCAAAATTAATCGCTCCAGTCAAGGTTGGAAATAGCAGATTTTCAGAATGACGTGGCTCGATTTATGCAAAAAACATACGTTATATATGATGTAAGAAAATGAAAACATATACGTGTAAATTGTACCGTCAGCAGATTCGAATGTATAATGAAACTCGACAAAAGAGATTAAAACGTTGTGTGAGCGTAGAAGTCAGCTTATAAGATAATAGGTGAAGTTTGCTCATGTGGGAATCTAGTTAACCTGTCTACTTTTACTGAATTAAGTAAAAATTTTACATGATAGGTCAAGTTTGCTCATGTGAGAATCTAGTTAACCTGTCTACTTTTACTGAATTAAGTAAAAATTTTACATGATAGGTCAAGTTTGCTCATGTGAGAATCTAGTTAACCTGTCTACTTTTACTGAATTAATGGAAAATTTTACACATTTGTTTTGTGTCTTATATTATGAAAAAACTTTGTCAATCATCTCTTTTTTTTAATGGTTATACAATGGAGTGTTTCAACTAATACAACTAAATTGTGTATCTTGTAACACGTTCATTGATGCATTTACTCAACTTAAGACTAAAAACAACTACGAACAATAAGCAATTAATAATGGCCGGAGACGGCTTGAATGGGCAATGAAGAAAAACTTTAATATACGTTTAACATAACATCAAATGTACAACGTTTCGACAAGGTTTTGTCATCATCAGGCACCCATCTAATAAGCAATTAATATGTTTTTTACCCATTTGTACAATAAATAAGTTTATGATTGTACGAATAATGGAATTAACAAAAGAACGCTTTTTTATAATAAACAAAATACAATATTATAAAGATAAATATATCATATATCAAATATGAGTAGAGTTTAGGAAAAGAATAACGTACAGGCAACAAATGTTTCCAACCGACACAGGTTTCGTTTCAGAAATCAAGACTAATGTTTCTAATAGAAACAAGGCTGACGTTTCTAAAATTGACGGGTTTCATTCTAGAAATAATGTTGATGTTTCTAAAAGGAACATATTTCGATATGGAAACTGAGCTGGCGCTTCTAAAATAAACAGGTTTCACTATATAAATTTGAATGATGTATCTAACAAAAAAAAAACAGGTTTCGTTACAGAAACTGTTTTGATGTTTCTAATAAAAACAGTTTTCGTCACAGAAACTAAGCCGATATTTCTAACACAAACATGTTTCCCAACAGAAACTAGACTGATGTCTCTAGCAGGAACAGGTTTCGACATTGAAACTAGGTTGATATTTCTAACAAAAACATGTTTCCCAACAGAAACTAGACTGATGTCTCTAGCAGGAACAGGTTTCGACATTGAAACTAGGTTGATATTTCTAACAAAAACATGTTTCCCAACAGAAACTAGACTGATGTCTCTAGCAGGAACAGGTTTCGACATTGAAACTAGGTTGATATTTCTAACACAAAACATGTTTCCCAACAGAAACTAGACTGATGTCTCTAGCAGGAACAGATTTCGATATTGAAACTAGGTTGATATTTCTGACAGACAATCATGTGAACGAATAATCAGAGACAACTACTTATATATATAGCTATTTGAGGGCTATCTGCGCTATTCGTCTGTAATTTTGAAGTGATAGTCAACACTACGCACCGCCAAGTTTTGTATTACTCTTTACCAACGATCAGTGGGATTGGCCGTCACATTATAACGTTGACACGGCTGAAAAGGTGAGCATGTTTGGTGGGACGGGGATTCGAACCCGCGACCCTCAGATTGCGAGTCAAACGACCTAACTACCTGGCTATGACAGATTCTGATCCGCCGAGGTATTCATCTTGACAGTAAATAAGCCAATGGAACACTTATAACCATTGTATAGTCTGTACAAAGTCCCGATATGAAAATTCTGAAAGATCTATAGGTTTTATAAATACTGAGAGGGTATAAAAGCATTTCTAGTTTATTGTACAACCTTTTTATCGTTTCTTGTGTATTTTTTGTGATAATGTTTGTGCCATTAATAAATTCGTCATTGTTTCTGACTCCTGTATGTGAATCTTTTGAGCTTTCCATAATTGTTTCAGTTACTGTACAATAGCTCTTTTTTTATTTTATCAAAACGTGTTTTATCCATAACATCATTTTTGGCTTTCATAACTGGATTTTTTTTATTTTCAATTTTGACTAGTTGATTTATTTTTTGAGAAAAAAAAATACAAGTGACGAACTCTCGTGAATGGCTTTTTTTATTAGTTTTCTACAAGAAAATGTACACAAAAGTTTTAAGTACGTTTTTCTTTATTTTTCACTTATTTTTCAATAAATGTTTTCTAGTGTTTACTTTTTAAAGTATTTGTTACTAAAATCTAAGTGTTCTAAAATATAAAACTCCTCCTTTCGTTTCAGCGTGTAGTGACACATGACAGTTATTAAATTTATACTGTACTCTCAACTCCGTTTATTTTGACTTTTGGTGATAATCAATTTATGCTGTTAAAATTATTTTTTATTAGCTTTAAAATGTCCCCCTGCTGGGACAGCGGTAAGCCTACGGATTAACAACGCTAAACACAGGGGATTCGATTCCCCTCGGTAGACACAGCAGATAGTTCGATGTGACCTTGCTATAAGAAAAACACATACATTAGCTTTAATGAATAAAATTCCAAGAAACGTTTCTGTGCATTGACAACTACAATCTTTATTTGTCAACAGAGGCACCAAATATTGCTAAAAAAAACGTTTCTGTGCATTGACAACTACAATCTTTATTTGTCAGCAGAGGCACCAAATATTGCTAAAAAAACGTTTCTGTGCATTGACAACTACAATCTTTACTTGTCAACAGAGGCACCAAATATTGCTAAAAAAACGTTTCTGTGCATTGACAACTACAATCTTTATTTGTCAACAGAGGCACCAAATATTGCTAAAAAAATTTAAAGATTTTTTTATTATCAAATTTATTCACCACTTATAAAAAAAAAGAAGAAAAATAAAATTTTTATCCAGCCTTTACACGGATGTTCGTCTTTCAAATGGTATCGGAATATTCCACAATTCATGAAATAGGTTAACATTAGGGTAAGCAAAAAAGTGTTCTATGGTACACCTGGCAACGTGGAAAACAATTAGTAGCAACAAACATGAATACCTAAAGAGAAAAACAGATGACAACGCTACATCGCTCCAACATTTATGGAACGAATCAGTGATGTAAAAAAAGTAACAGGGATTATGTTTTCATTGTATAGAAAAGATAATTCAGGGATTGAGAATCTCGCAATGATGTGACTTTCGAGTCAACCAGCAAGTTTTATAACTTAATCTACCTCTTGTTACTAAATTACAGATAATTCAGGGATTGGGTGACTTCACACAATAATGTGACTTTCGAGTCAACCAGCAAGTTTTATAACTTAATCTACCTCTTGTTACTAATTACAGATAATTCAAGGACTGGGTGACTTCACACAATAATGTTATGACTTTCAAATCAAACAGTACGTTTTGTAACTTATGTCAATCTCTAGTTACTAATTACAGATAATTCAGGGATTGGGTGACTTCACACAATAATGTTATGACTTTCAAATCAAACAGTACGTTTTGTAACTTAATCTACCTCTTGTTACTAATTACAGATAATTCAGGGACTGGGTGACTTCACACAATAATGTTATGACTTTCAAATCAAACAGTACGTTTTGT